CCCCTTTTTACCATTATAATACGTTTATTTAGCAATCAAAGGGTGTAATTTGCTTGGTGGGCTTGACATCCCAATCAAGACTCTCATCACTCTTTTCCCTCACCAACGGTATGGTGTTCCAGGGTGGGGGAACCTTTCTCTCACCGTTTTTTCTATTGTACAGTGTACACTCATCGGTATAATATAAAAAAGGCAATTTTATGTTAATTTGTTATAAAAACTATTTATAACTAGAGAATTACAAATAAATAAATAAATAAAAATATGTGGATAGATTTTCGATAAGACTTTTAAGATTAATCGGTATAGGCATAACGCTCATTATGTAATGCTTACATGACATGTCTTAACACATGTTATACCAAGTCAACGTCGCCCCCATTTCTCGTTACGTTGGTAATGTAGCTCAACACGAGTTAAGAAAAAAAAATGAATAAATCTTTTTATTATTTTTTTTTTCCTTTTTAAGAATGGTGTGGTAGATATTTCCTAACAAAAATGAAACGGTGATAATATGATGTCACGTATAAGGTGACAACTTTTTGGTATTATAGCATCAACCCATACAAATTAGCCTAATATTTTAATTAAAGCCGACAACAAGTCCTCTGGATAGAATTGACACTACTAGAAAAAGGAGGGATTTCCTATGAATATTTCCGCGGAAAAGGAATTTCTCGATATTACCTACAAATTATCGAGGGGACTCTTAGGAATAACCATATACACACTTTCTTCGGAAATCCCTCAGAAGTTCCTACTCTTTTCGTAAGATCTTTATAAATACCCAACTTTCTTCGGTATTTCCTTAGTAATATTTTCTTTTTTAACAATTTTTTCTTGTAACAAAAAAAAACTTATCGAGTTTAGGTAGAGAATACACTCGTTGTTCTTACAATTTTCCTTCGAAGGTTGTACTAACTACATTTTCCTCGGTATTCCCACGGTATTTCCTACATTTTTCCTAGGATCTTTATAAATACCCAACTTTCCTCAGTATTTTCTTAGTAATATTTTTTTTAAGAATTTTTTGTAACATCCCAAAAAATTATAAGGTGAAAATTTCATTTTTAATTCAACACATTAACACCATTTACTCTTATTAAAATATCGAAGAAGAAGCATAAGCGCAATAGAGAAAAAGGAGATTGTTTTTCATTCATTCCGTGTAATCTAAATAGTCAAAAAGATGCTCTATTTATACTGCAAATCATAATTGATGTCATTATACATCAAAACATAGCAGTCAATTAACCGACATAATTAATTGGTAGATCAAAACCGAAATCTCTTATTAATAACCTTCAATTCGGGTTTGTAACTGTAAACCAAAAAGAAAATAATTGCAAAAAGGTCTTCGGATTTTTCTTTTCGACCGGTGGAGCATTCGTACCCGCAGGACGCGCACTCCCAAACAAGTTCAGTGGCCCGAAGCCAAACTAGCTCGCATTTGCACCCCCCCCCCTGCGTACACACGCAATAAAGAGTCATGGTTCTATAAGTCTTACAAAGGTAGCTAATCTTCGTAGTTATAAACCAATTTTCTTTTCATACTCCTACCAATGTAGGATGAAACAAAACTCAATCAACACATTTTTAATCTCTTTCAACTATCTTACTTTGACAAGTAATTTCCCATTCACTTTTAATCCGTTTTGTATATGTAATATATCAAAATGAAGGTAGCACAGAAGAGAACACGAATATATAATCATTTGTCCTTTTAATTACATCTATAGTTCAAAATTCGTGCTCAAAAATGGGAAAAACTCATTTTTGGAAATTGATAAAACTAATTTTCCAACAATACATAGGATCATGGACTCTTGCTCTCATTGTGTCCAAGTTAGAAGTTATTCAGGTATAATCTCATCACATAGTCTCTTGTCACGAAAAAAAATATGCATTTTTACTCGGATTCAGACTATTTAAGATTCAAACATCATACGAGCTTTTATAAAAAGTTATTCTAAAAATGGCATGAATGTAACATTTTTTCAACATATAAAGTCAAAGTAACAAGAAATCAACAACTATCACCCCAAGTTCATGTTAATAAAAAATAAAATCTATATTGAAATCAATTTATGAACTCAAAAGCAAAAAACAAACATATAAAATCAAAAATAACAAGAAATTAACAAGTATCACCCCAAGTAACTCACTTGCTCACACCCATCATTCTTTTAGTACATTCATCCGTATATAAAGTGGAAAACTAAATAATGTCATTAAATCTGTTTGATTACGCACCAAATACGTGAGACTCTCTTTTATTCATGGGGTTCCAAACTTATTCGCTCAGATTCTTTATAAAATTTGTCAACTTGTGATGGCATATCCATGAGTTTTACTTATTGGCCCATTTATGATCAACCATAAAGCTTTGTTAAATTTTGACACCGAAAACAAATTTGGTAAAATACGAAAACAAACAAAAAATAAGTTTTTTCATAATGGTTTCACCAAAATTGGTTCAAACCGATCCTAAATGGTTCCTATATGTTTGTACATTTTTGTTCGGAATGTGGTTTTAAATCATTCTAATTTTGACTTTTGTTGACTAAAATCAATCCAATTTATTAAAGAAAAATCGAGTTTGTGCACCTTGTTGTTCAACCCAATGAGCTGCTAAACGCCTAGAAAAAGAACTGTCCACATACATTTCCCTCGCCTCTGGTGTTGCCCTAATCCTCCACTTGAACGACACCCACTTTTCTCCAGAAGAACAGAAAAGGTATAATGTGGATCGTGTGTAGAATTTTCGTGAATTCATACTCAATGTATTAGATTTAGGTGATTACTGATTTAAAAACCTGCTCAAATACTTATATACTCCCCATTATACATGTTAACAACCCATTCAAAATCTACGAAGTCTTTAAGATACATGTTTCTTAAAATTGCATATTTTTTGAGTTTGTCATGATAGATCAAATGTACATAGTTTATATCTACATATGAATTGAACATATTAAGACAAGTTTCAACCTTACGTTTAACATCTAGGCATATCATGTTATCAGATCTTGCATTCTTATTAGTCTTAAAAATGTCTGCTAAATGTGCTATTTCTTTTTCTTCTTTTCAACAGATTCGTTAAGCTTTAGTTATAATGGGATGAAACACTAATAACTGATCTGCACCATATGACAATCAATCTGGTGATTCTGCTGATGCTTTATTCAAATGAAACTGGTTTGTTAGAAATCTCAAATTTGAATCTCCTTTTTTATGCTTACACTTCATTATTGATCTTTTCATTCATATTGACTATGGTATTTCTTCTACGTATAACTTATAGTTCTCTTTTTAGGAGCTTATTTGGCAACTTTTATAGCTCCATCTAACATTTAAGTTAGTCGCTTTCATTAGTAGCTCAATAATGATTGATCATTTATGATGTTGCTCCTTCAATACACTTCAATATCTACATTTATTCACTAAAGGCACAATTAACTAGCTCTTTTGCTAATATATCATCTCTAAGATAGTTTAATACATTAACTAAGATAATTTATATAATTCGATAATAAAAGATAAGAACTTGAGTTTTATAAGAAAGGTGCACAAGAAAAATAAGCTAGAATACTCAATAATGAAAATCAACGAATGTTACTTTTATTTATTAACACCAACTAAAAAGAGCATCAAATATCTCGATTCTTTTGATCGTAAAACGTTATATATATTTTATACTTAGAAGATAAATTTTGGATGACCAAACTTTGATATCTAATTTATTTGTCTATGTGCAGATATACCCATCAAAGTTTGCATATCAAAAATTTATTTATCTCATGTTATCAATACAACTTTTCACAAATTTTAATGACAATAGTGATCAAACTAACATGCTTCCCTCCCCCCTCGTAACCTTCTTCTTCACCTAGCCTCTACTATAAATCCACCACTCAAAGAATTCCCAACATTATGTTACTCAAATTTCTAAGATAGCCGATTTGTTAACCAATCATGGTAATGTATTAAGATAACCAATTTGTTGAATGATCATCGCTAATCTAAGCTACCCATGCGACGTAAAAATGCAATGATGTTTATATTGAAGATGAATCCAATCCATCGACGTCCTTTGCAACAAAATCGATGACTTTTGGGTAGTTTCTTTTATGATTTCTTTGATGGAACGCCAAGTTATTGAATATGGATATTTTTTCAACACCCCTAACTTCCTCATCGATGCATTTATATTTATCACCATTAAAAAGTTGAAGATGGAGAGGGTTTGCTAACATTATCAAATCCTCCCAACTTTTCATTTTACATTTGTATTCAAAACAAAATGGTGTCGTAAATATATCAACATGGTGCTACGAATTGAAGTAATCAAGGTTGGATTCAGGAATATTGAAATACGAGTAACATTGGAAATGAGTATTGATACTTCCACTTGAAAATTTTATCTATCCACTTAAAATATATGTATGTGAACTTTTTTACTCCTAAATTTGATATGGAAGATATAGATAAAATCATTTGACTTTAATATTGAAGAGAGAGAAAAAAATTTCTCCAAGAATTCCAAATACAAGTTCATGTTTTGTGAATCATATATAGTTTTTTTTTTAATTCATATAATAAATCTTATTAGTTTGATAACATTTATTAAGAAAAATAATAGGCTACCTTTTCAAAGTAAACACGTTAAATGTAAGTATTTCAATATTTATTTATTTATTTATTTTTTTGTTAAAAATGAGTTCTAAATTAAATAAATATTAATAATATTAAAAATCATATAAAAATTCACATTGCAAGACTTATATATATATCTATAACTTTTTCCAACAAATATATTAAAATTAACACATCAAAATCCATTAAAATGTTGCTTAACAAAAATATCCAAATCACAATAATATACAAAAAGGTTTAACTATAAATAAACATTCATCCTACCCTGTGGCATATCATCACTTGGAAAAAATTGGATATGTATTTAAATCAAGTAAGTTGTTTTTAATAACTCATATAAATAATATTCTCAAAACACATTATATAATTAAAGAACAACACGCTTATGAACAGTGCATGCAGCACTTTCTTTTTAACCGTTTGCTTGGTCAAAATTTTACCGGCTTTCACTGCATCGAAATACCCATTTCACCTAATCTTTTTTTCTCTATTCACTGCCATCAACTCTTTCCTTGTCTCTTTCTCTGCAATCAATTTGATTTCGCCTCTCCACTGTTTCATATTTTCAGTGATGGAGCTTTCCTGCCGCCTTCAGTTTGCTTTCATATTTGGAGAAAGTTGTTGTTCCTTCTGGTCAATAATGGGTGCAATCAAATTTTGGAGGCCATATTCACCGCTATCTCAGTTTTTGATTGTTTAGTTTTAGTTCGCTTTCTCTATATTTCCTCCCTCATCAATTGCTATTTGCTTGAAATTCACTACCGAAGAACCCTAACCCGATTCAGGTAGGTTTGAGGCCTAATATTTTCTAATTTGATGGTTTGTTGTTTTTGATTTTGAGATTGATCCATTGCCGCCATGAACACCAGTGTCACCACCGATTTCAATTAAACACCGATTTCAATTAAAGTCCAATCTTTACGTATATGCCCACCACGTGTTTGTAGAAATGACCAACTAAACCAAATATCCATTTGTCTTAATAATAAATGCAAGTGTGTTTTTTAGTATTTTGTTCACTTTGAAAGTGTATTCTTAGTCATCTCATTTTTGTTTGGAAGTCAGCTAGCCCATGAATATCCAATAGGATATTGTTTTCATACATGGATTACACTGTTGTTCTAGTATTGAGTTCAAGTTGGTGTTTGTTCAAGGTCCATGACTTTCATCTCTTTTATATTTTGATTTTTTGATTTTTTGATTTTTTTTTTGTTTGTTTTTGTTTTTCAATGCACGATTCATTATGTGTCACAGTCACTTGTTGAATACATCATTAGTGCACATTCCATGGTTTATGTGCTGATTTTAGTTCTTATATATTTCATTGTCTGTAAGTGAAACATCTTTGTTTGACACTTTTAACCATGCAGATGGATACCGAGACCCAAAGGATGTAGAGGCTTTGATTCTTTACGTTCTTCCAATTTCAACTACCAATTTTTTTTTGGGTATCAGATGACTTACATAATGTTTTCGTGCAACCTTTGAGACAATATTAAAAGCTTCTGTATGTAAGCCGAGGATGAAGAAGAAAAGTTTACTTATGTGATCTTAATGATTTAATATAGCTGTAAACAATATACCTTCATCCCAAATAAATGAGTTTGCTGGTCAAAATATAGAAAGTTGGAAAGTCTTTAAGTTTTGACCTTCATTTTACACAAGAAGCCAACCTTCCCTTTTATTGAAGATGCCTAGGTTTTGTCAAATTGCTTAAAAGAATTTGCAATATCTTTTACAATGCGGATTTCAGCATGAGAAATATCACCAGACCAAGGGTTGCACATTTCTGTTGGTGTTGCTCCTTGAAATGATGCATATGTTGCCAAGAGGAAATAAACATTGATAGGTTATATGCTGCAATTTCAAGTATTCAACTTTTTTTCTTCATATCTTTAGACTTTGATATATTCATCATATTATATGGTGAAGAAAAATATTCATCTTAAAAGTCATCAAATTTATATTATATGATTATTAAATAATCTTATTCTTCATGCTAACGTTTTCAACTTTCAACATAAAATATTTAATTTATAAATTTAAGTATCTTAGTTGATGTAAAACATTATCAACCCCAAATATTAATAAATGAATTACATTTTGTTTTAATTGTTTATTTATTATTACTTTACTTTCAACATGTTTGATTAAAACATGTATTCTTAGTTGATAAAAATAACTACAATATCTATAGATGGAAAGAGCAACTTTTTTTACTATTTTTTCTATATCTAACATCAAATTTTTTTTACTCATTTGTTCATATTTTTTTTTTCATATTCATATTTTCAAGTTGATCTTCAAGAGACTGAAGTAAAACCAGTTGATATTGGAAGTGCTCACTACTTGCTATTTAGGATCCACAGATAATATATATCTATCTACTAAATTACCTTTTTACCCTTTATATGAAGTTATAATTAACTAATGTGGTTTTTTTTCCATTTTTTATAATAGGCTCCGGATAATTATATAGGAAAAAAATTCATTCCACCTATTTCTAGGTTAGTTAGCAGGCGCTTGTGTTGATCAGTATTTGAGTATTTGCATAATGTCTAAAATACCTTTGGTAACATTGTTAAAACTTAGACAAGATCTCCTTTTTCTATCGGATCATTCTGATAACTTCTCCGAATGTTCATATTGCCTTGTACTTGGATCAGAGTGATCCAACTTATGATGAAGCATATGTTACTCTTAATCGCTATGATATTGTCCTTATTGCAACTGTCATGAACATAACCAAAAAAACCTTTCAGAATCTCTATCTGGAATTAGCAACAATGGGTGACCTAAAACTTGACAGTTGACACCTTGCCCCTGAATCAAGAAAGAAGATAAAAGCAAACATTAAGCTGTTGTCAACTGAGACTGGGGTCATATTCAGAAACGTTGTTTATGAAACTTCAAATATTATGGAGCGTATTGTTCTTGTCCTCGATAATATTCATATTGACTTATATTATACGTCTCTCCGATCGTCTGTAGTTCTTCAGGTAAGTTTTAGGCAGTTTGCAGCATACGTTTTTATTATTATATATATATTGAGGATTAATAGAACCTGATACATGTTCAGCCTTATACCCTTTGCAAAGTGAGGTTTTTTTTTTTTTTTTACTTCATTGAATTTTCAATTCTATATTGCCATTTGTTTCTCTGCTAATGATGAATATATTTGTTGATAAGGCTTATGTATTCACTTTGCCTATTCATGTGATAAAAATTTGTTGATCTCAAAAGTATGAAAGTGTATCTCATGTATTCTTTGGTTTTACATATTCAAACAATTTTCTAGATGTTGCATGTCATAGTGATGTTCAAAGATGTTACCGAATTGGTTTTAGTGACAATTATCAAATAGAAAAAAAAATGTCTTCGGACCCATGCGAAGCATGGGCTCCTACACTAGTTATTATTCATTTGGAGAACACAAGTAGAACTTGAAGGATTGTTTGTTTGTGATGACTCCACGAATTCAAATCTTGAAAAGTCTCGTGCCGTATTTTTTTTCCTATTTTTGAGGTCTACCCTTTGGTCAATGAATCATGGGCCCAAAGAACAAAGAACATATCAGATTCATCTATAAGTTTAGTAATCATAGAAATAACAAGTTCTTTCTTACTTAGATGCCACATTTGGTATATTGAAGACAACTCATTAAGCAACATATCAAATTCGTTTTTGCCATCATTGTGTAAATCATCTTTTGAATTCAGGTGAATGTATCAATCCTCCAATGTGGATAAATGCGATCCAATGAAAATAACATTCTTTGCAAATGTTTTATCTTGTGAGCACAAAGAAGACCTATGGACAAAATCAACATAATTATTAAAAGTTAATATAAAACTAATGACATGCAACAAATGTAAAATAAAACTATAATCTTTGTAAATATTACCATTTTTTTAAAATTGCATATGTATCTCCTTTAATGCAAAATGAGATACATGGTTCAAAATATCTCTAAAGGTCGGCGCATCACACCTATGAAGAACTTGAATTCTCTTATTTGTGAGTTTTTAATTTAATCTCCTTGAATTGATGTTAATTGCAAAACAAATATTTTTCTTTAACTTCTTAAAAGCCACTTATAATACTTGTAAATACAATTTGAGATCTGCATTAGCACCTTCAACCTTTGAAGATGAACGAGTACCAAAATACATGTAATCTTCTACCAAGCACTAACAATTTTTTTACAAGGTATCCATGTGTTTTTAATATACTCAATCATAGCTTTATTTATTTGATAAAACAACTCAAATTCACGCAGATTGTTCTAAAAAACAGTTGTTGAACATGTTATATTGTTCCAACTTGACATAAATATATCAAACTCTTCTGCATGTGCAAAATAGTTTTTGCAATTTGCCAACATGTTATTTTCAATATGCCAAATATACAAAAGGTTTGTTGTGTTTGAAAATATCATCTTTATAGCATTCATTAATGTCAACTCTATCAAACAGAATTACAAATGAGTTATGATTTTCAAAAGTCTTCTTAAACTTACTTAATGCCCAAAATGTAACTATCTTCATCCTTTTTCTGCAAAAAAAAAAAAAAAAAAAAGCTTAGAATAAAACGCGTGTTAAAACATGAAACCCTAATGATATCAAGAAGAGTTATATTATATTTGTGTGTTTGCAATCCAATAACAAAAACATTTAAGAGTATTTTGGTCAGTTTAATTGCGAGAGGGTGTGCAATGAACAAATGGTATATGCCCTTTTTCAAGCTTTCCTTATGGATTTTCATCTTCAAGTTGTATATAGTTCGGGAAACTAATGGAAGGTTTTGGTTTTTTTTGACGTAAAGAAGAAAGAATTTGTCTTGTGGTTATGCCAGAAAGCGTCATATTTTGTGTCATTCAGATTATGATGGGAACTACCTCTTTGTGATGGATTCAACATTAAAAAAAACAAATATAACATATATATTACTAATACCTTTTTTTAGAAAGAGGATAATAGATAGTTATATTTGGGCATTAAGTATGTTAAAGAGTTTTGAAAATCATGAATTATCTGTGATTATATCATAATAAAGAGTTGGTATAATTTCATAAAAATGGTATTTCCAAACACAAGAAACCTTCTACATATTTGGCATATTGAAAAGAAAGTGTTGACAAATTGCAAGAAGAATTTTGCACATGTAGAAGAATGAGATATATTTATGTCAAGTTGCAAACAATATAACATATTCAACAACTATATTCAAGAATAATTTGGGCGAATTTGAGTTGTTTTATCAAAGGAAGAAAGTTACGATTGAGTATATCTAAAAACACATGGTTGTCTTGGAAAGAAAAGATTCTTAGTGTTTTGACAGAAAATTACTTGCATTTTGTTACTTGTTCATCTTCAAGGACTCAAGATGCTCATGCGAAACTCAAATTGTATCTATGACTGGCTTTTAAGAAGTTAGAAGAACAAATTGTCTTGCAATCAACTATGGATTCAACAAGATTAAAGTGGAAGTCACAAGTGAGAAAGTTCAAGTTCTTCATAAGTAACAGTGTATCTAATTTTATATTAAAGGAGATACATATGCAATATGAAAAAAAAGTAATAATAATATTTACAAAGGTTATAATTTACACTGTTGCATGTCATTAATTTTTACATTAACCTTTAATAACTATTTGATTTTCAAGTTTAACGACTCATTGCCATAGTTACAACATTCACCAAAGTAGATCCAAAAAGTAGTACGATTACGTAACAATTATCGACATAAACACTCTATGGTATGTCTTCCTTGCGATCCCAATTATTCTCAAAATCGATTATTGAAACGTTAAATTGGCGTATTGGATTGCAAAGAAACACAATTGGGATCACCAATTTTATGTTTGGAATGTCGATTTGTGTTTAGGTGGGAAATTAGTTTTCTTTGGAATAAAAAACGCCGACGATGATGCGTTGATTGAATTCCACCAATTCCTTGATTCCATGTATGATGTTTTGACTTCCACCTCCTCTGATGATTCTTACACCAATCCATCATAATAATTTAGTAATTTTGTCCCAATTCCAAACTATACCTAAGATATATATTGTTATAGGATCGTACCTATGGTTTTTTGGGTTTTAATCTATCAATCCATTAAACTTGATAAATCTCCACACCCTTTCCAAGAACTATAAGACTTTGCTTCGTAATTCCACCTTTTAGATAAAAAAATAATGAAGAATAAGTGTTCAACCGATCGCGTGGGAGTCAAAATAGTCAAACCGACTGAAAAACTTCTATATAACTCGCCTTAAACCATGCCTTTCATCTCGTATTTGTCATGGTCAACATGAGGTTAAAATCTTGAGGAATATATTTAGCTACCCATGTATTATCTGTACTAATTTAGGCGCCGCTACTAAATTGTCAAAATGGACAATATACCATCACTGCCCAAGAGAATGCCTAAACCATGTATCTTACCTGTGCACACCGTATCATATTATATCGCACACTATATCGGGACGTACCGAAATGAACCTACCCCTCCTCGTACCTGATACTTCCAAAGTGGCGAACCACGTTCCCATATCTGAGTGTACCACGAATTATGTGACTATGCTCCTTGCATTGGTCATTTTATGGAAACCATGAGTCTTCCTTGTGATCACAAGATAAAACATTTATAAAGAATGACAATTTCATTGGATCTCATTCATACACAGTGGGG